AATTCAGACACTAATAAGTTTTTGGTCGAGCCATTTTGTTTCCTTTATTCCGACAAAATTATACAATCAATCAAAACAAGTTTAATACCAGAAGAAAGCTGACGATTAGAATTTTCATTAACCGCTTGCCCCAAAGTCGCTTGACCACAGTGAAACGAGTGAGAGCTTGCGAGAGCGGCCAAAGTGTGATTGAAACTCGCTATTTGCTCTTCTCCAACACAAAAAGAGACGACATTGTGCTGGATAAATGTATTTTTTCCGACAAAAGTACAAAAAAAATTGCATATGGTCTTTTTATATTATACTTTATGAAATAGTACCCGAGTGACTTCCGGGCGCCCCAATGCTGGAAAGAAACGCACATTTGAGAAAACTTCACTTTTTCATGGAAAAATACTTATTTGTTTCATGCACGCAAGTCAGATTGAGCGGATGATACAACGTTTCCATATGCGAGAACGGTACAACGAATCGTTTTCTTTCTCTAATGATTTAATGAAACGCCAAAGCTTCCGCGCGGGAGGGGGGGGGGACCTGCCCCCCCCCCCCCACTTTGGGGTCGGAATGACCGCATGCGTGTTACCAAAATGTCCGGTAAAGGGGTACTTTTCACGCACCAAAGTCCGGCTCGTAGTACACAAAAGTGACTTTACACACCGGACTTAGGGGGTGTTTTCAAAAGGAGAGAACACGCATATGCGTACCCTTAATTACACTGAGTGGGGGGGGGGGGGGCGGGGAGGGGAAAAACCAAATTCAAACACGGATTAAGAGTCTAGAATGGTACAACAAATCGGCTTCTTTCTTCAATAATCTAATGAAGCGTCAGAGCTTCCGCGCTACTCCCGTAGGAAGAGGAACTTGATTCACACAAGGATAAAAGGAAAAAGGATTAAGAGTCGAGAACGGTACAACGAATCGTTTTCTTTCTCTAATGATTTAATGAAACGCCAAAGCTTCCGCGCGGGAGGGGGGGGGGGACCTGCCCCCCTCCCCCCCCCCCCCCCACACTTTGGGGTCGGAATGACCGCATGCGTGTTACCAAAATGTCCGGTAAAGGGGTACTATTCACGCACCAAAGTCCGGCTCGTAGTACACAAAAGTGACTTTACACACCGGACTTAGGGGGTGTTTTTAAAAGGAGAGAACACGCATATGCGTACCCTTAATTACACTGAGTGGGGGGGGGGGGGCGGGGAGGGGGGAAACCGAATTCAAACACGGATTAAGAGTCTAGAATGGTACAACAAATCGGCTTCTTTCTTCAATAATCTAATGAAGCGTCAGAGCTTCCGCGCTACGCCCGCAGGAAGAGGAACTTGATTCACACAAGGATAAAGAGTCGAGAACGGTACAACGAATCGTCTTCTTTCTCTAATTATTTAATGAAACGTCAAAAGAAACTGAATTTAGACAAGGATTAAGAGTCTAAAATTCCTACGAATCGTCTTCTTTCTCTAATAATTTAATGAAACGTCAAAGCTTCCGCGCTAAGCAAATAGAGGGGGAAAATCCCCCTCCCTGCACCCACTCCCTAGGGAGCGCGCTTCGCCCCCCCCCCCCCCTACTCCGGGGTCGGAATGACCGCATGCGTGTTACCAAAATGTCCGGTAAAGGGGTACTTTTCAAGCACCAAAGTCCGGCTCGTAGTACACAAAATTTACTTTACACACCGGACTTAGGGGGTGTTTTCGAAAAGAGGGAACACGCATATGCGTACCCTCAATAACACTGAGGGGGGGGGGGGTGGCGGGGAGGGGGGAAACCGAATTCAGACACGGATTAAGAGTCTAGAATGGTACAACGAATCAGCTTCTTTCTTTAATAATCTAATGAAACGTCAGAGCTTCCGCGCGGAGGAAGGGGAACTTGATTCAAAGAAGGATTAAGAGTTGAGGAGAGTACAACGAATCGTCTTCTTTCTCTAATAATTTAATGAAGCGTCAAAAGAAACTGAATTTAGACAAGGACTAAGAGTCTAGAACGGTCCTACGAATCGTCTCCTTTCTCTAATAATTTAATGAAACGTCAAAGCTTCCACGCTTCGCAAAAAGAGGGGGAAAATCCCCCTCCCTGCACGCATGCTCCTAGGGAGCGCGCTTCGCTCGCTCTTTAAGAGTTTCGCACGCTTTGCGTGCTTACTACCGCCCCCCTAAAATGAAATCCTGGCTACGCGCTTGTATCAAATTTGTCAAAATATGCTAATCTGACGGTAATTTAATGCCTAAAACCCCTTGACTTCCGGAGTCTCGGCCCCAAATTTGTCAAAATATGCTAATCTGACGTAATCTATTGCCTCACACCCCTGAGTCTCCGGGGGCTTCGCCTCCTGGACCCCACGCCAATTTGTGACCTGCCAGTGTCACAAGGGTATCAAAATATGTGCATCTGACCGTAATTTATTGCCCAAAGCTCCTAGGCTTCCGGGGCTCCGCCCCCTGGACAACCATCCCAATTCATGACCTGCCAGTGTCACAAATAAGGTAATAAATTATGCTCATCTGACGATAAATTGATGTATAAACCTCTGAGCTTTTGAGGGCACCGCCCCCTGGACCCAACACCAATATGTGTCCTGCCAGTGTCACAAATAATGTATCAAAATATGCTTATCTGACAGTAATTTATTACCCCAAACCCCTGAGATTCCGGGGGTTCCGCCCCCTGGACCCCACGCCAATTCGTGACCTGCCAGTGTCACAAATAAGATATAAAATATGCTCATCTGACGATAATAAAACCCCTGAGCTTCTGGGAGCTCCGCCCCTTGGACCCAACACCAATTTGTGTCCTGCCAGTGTCACAAATAAGGTATACAAATATGCTCATCTGATCGTTATTTATTGCCCAAAACTCCTGAGCTTCCGGGGGCTCTGCCCCTTGGACCCCACGCCAATTCGTGATCTGCCAGTGTCACAAATAAGGTATGAAAGTATGCTCATCCGACGACAATTTGATGTATAAAACCCCCTCAGCTTCTGAAGGCTCCGCCCCTGGGAAAAAAAAAACGTGTAAAAACACGTTAATTTTACCTTTTTTGGAGACCCCCCCCCCCCCTGGCGCTCAAGGAGGGGGGGAGGGTGCGATTTTTCAAATATTCGAGGGCCAAAAAAGAGCTCACTACCATGATGTAATTATTAAGAAAAGGGAAGGACGAAAACGAAAAATGCATATACAGTGTAGGGCTTTATCAACATAGGGGCTCACAATATAGCTATATTTTTTTTTCTCCTTTAAATATTGTCAAACTATACATCAATGTAAAGCTCTTGATGAGAGAAATTCAATGGTGAAATGATAATTGAAATATGAAATTGCATTATTATTAAAGTTATGGCTTTTCAAAGTACTCATCTCTTAATTGCAAATCTTACGCCCCACTTCTTGGATGATCAGTAACTATGATCTGCTCGTTAACTTTAATATTTATCATCAGGCTATTAAAAGTATACTTCTTCAAACAAAATACAGCTTTTGATACGAGGAATGCAGTGATGAAGGTATCGCAGTAGGAAGTAGAGGCTAGAGTCGGTCGGTCACACCGAATCCCGACCGTCGCCATCGGGTCCCGGTTTAGCTTTTTGGAAGCCGATGCTCCGATAAAAATAATGAAATATATAAGATATTGCAGTATTGCACACCACAAAAATTAATCCACCTTAAAACTCTTAAGTATTTATTTTTTACCAATATGTTTTTCATACTCTAGCTCATCCTGAATCAATCCGAACTGGCAATATAAATATGGGTTGCAAAGCAGTTCACTGTTCGCGGCATGCATGGGGTTGTTACCAGCTGCGCAGCTAGCAAGCAAGCTAGCTACTGGTCGGGTCTCGACAGGATAAATAATTTAGGTTTAAAAAACATTAATGTTGGAATTATAAAACGGCTTTCTAAAAAATTCTTCTTTACAACATACGGATCGCATTTATTTTTAACACAAAATAAATATTTCCCTCCTATTTTAAACACTGCATGTTTTTTTAATAGCTGATAATTACTTAATAATCATAACAAGTTTCGATACTGATAGCTGTTGCAAGGCAAGCTCGGACTAGTCACGGAAGGAATGTGCAATACACTTCATCACCTGTAATGCGTCACGGTTACCGTCACCGTCACTCACTTTCCTTAGTCCAGACTGCTGCTTCTATCTTATGCATGCTCCACCGAGATCTCTGCATACGATGCAGTACATGATACCCCTTATTTCGCGCTGTGAAAGAAACCCGGCCGCCCCGATTGACAACTACCAAAAAAAATCAGAAAAATCATTGTTATCTGCCCAAATACTGTATTTCTCGAATTTGAACCCTGCGAGGCACAGCTTCTTGGCTGGTCCCAGCAATTCTTCCTAAGTGCGGGTTTCAGGACAGGCGCGGATCCAGGATTTCTTAGGGGAGGGGGCCCAACTTTTTTTTTTTTTGCTCCCGAAAATTTGAAAATCGCGCCGGCCGAAAAGTCGCTCAGTGGGGGGGGGGGGGGGGGGGGGGGGGGGGGGGGTTGGTGTCATACAGAGCACAATTTTTTTTTTTTTTTTTTGCTCCCGAAAATTTGAAAAACGCGCCGGCCAAAAATTCGCTCAGTGGGGGGGGGGGGGGGGGGGGGGGGGGGGGGGGGGGGGGGGGGGGGGGGGGGGGGGGGTAGTGAGCACATTTTTTTTTTTTTGATCCTCAAAAAAATTTCAATTTGCACCCCCCCCCCCCTTGAGCGCCAGGGGGGGGGGGGGGGCCCAACCCCAAAAAAAGGTAAAAATCACGTGATTTTACATGATTTTTTTCTCAAGGGGGGGGGGGGGGGCCCGGGCCCCCCGGGCCCCCCCCCCCCCTGGATCCGCCACTGTTTCAGGAGGCGGGGGCAACACAATTTATGGCGTCGAAAACCCCCCAAATTGTTCACCATTATTAGATAGATATATAGAGAGAATTGAAACCCTAAAAGGATCTTTATTCCATCTGCTTTATGTACGTAATGTAGATATTTCTGAATAATATTTTCAGGCATTGTTGCCCACGATGTCGTCACCATTTCCCAGAGGGCTACATTTCTGTCCAGTGAGAAGGACATCTTACACCATGGGTGGATTCTGCCTTCTCTACCTGTTCCTGATCCTCTTGATGAGATCTGGTGACGTTGAAACTAATCCAGGTCCTAACACTGCAGAAAGGTATGCATATACTGGCTTACTTCGAGTCATTGGGTCATCGCGTCCGGTCGGGTGGTTGCGTTACACGACCTTGCATGAAACAAAAGATCATGTGAAGATGCACGTTCAGGATGCGATCTTAAGTAGATTTACTGAAAGGTTTTCACAAAGTGTCAGGTAATTTGGACCAGACCATTTGAAGATGAGAAGGATTTATTTCACAAACATATCCCCTGACATTTCATGAATAAAGGGCATGATAATTTTCACAAAAGGCCGGGTAACGCTACAACCTGACCCGACATGATGACCCGATGATTCAAAGTAAGCTAGCCTTTATACTAGTAACCTTTGGGGGTTAAAAATAGAATTTAGGTTTGGTCACGCAATAGCATTGCAAAAGAAACACCATGTTTCAGCAGTGATTCAAAAGGTTGATCATGCATGTAGCGCAACAGTATAATTGGTGTATACTTGGTTTGGTTTTGGAGTCGTCAAAATTATTATTTTGCCCAGTCTTGCTAAAAGTCACATGTACTGCACACATAAATGTGTGTTATTGGACTAATGGCACAAACATGCAGCAAGAAAGTGTGGTCCACAACAAATTATTTGTTGTATTTTTAATATAAGGGCATTTGAAGAGCCATCTTTTTCAAGGAATGTTGTTTTTATGATACAGGTACTCTTCCACACAAACATACACAGAATGAAAAGGCTCACAAATTATTTTCACCCTTCCCAGAACCATGTTACACTTTAATAAGTTATTATGTGAATAAAAAATATGCATAAAGACTATGCAGCTACCAATGATAATCATGATGATGAGTAGTAGTAGTAGTAGAAGCCTGAGTATATTAGTAGAAGTGATAATAGTAATAATAATGATAAAAATGGTAATCATCATCATCATCACCATCAGTTCTAGTAATAATAATGTTAACTTCATTATCACTATTATTATTAGAAGTAGTAGTAATCTTTTTCTTATTGTTATTATTATTGCTATCATCATCATCATTATTGTATTTACTGCCAGACTCTGCTTTTGGAGGAACAATTACCTTTGCCAGAACAATACTGCCCTCACCTGCAATTTAGAGCAGTATGTTTCAAATGTTATTATCACAGGCAATATATTCTGATATCCCCAGGTTGTTATATTGCCCACTCGAGCACGCACATGTACATAATACTCAATGTTGAGAGTTACCTGATAGCTTCTCATCCAATAGGATGCTCGCTAACTAATATCCTATCATAACCAATTAATGTATTATTAATATTACAGTACTGTCAGTGAAATGGAGTTCCTGAAGCTGGCCCAGGATATCCCTCCATCTTACTACAATGCCGTAGGGATATCTCTAGGGATACCCCATGCTCAACTACAGGCAATCCTGATTGAGAATTTGAAGAACTACACCAATGCGTTACTGGATGTGTTTATGAAATGGAATGTCATGCAGCAACCTCCACACTCAAACAAACGACAGCTTTTGGCAGACAAACTTCGAAAGATCAACTTGGGTGGCCTATCAGACGAATTACTCAATGAACCTCCAATTCCAAACAGCACAGGTAAACAGATACTAATTATTGCTACACCAGAAGACATAGAAAAACATTTATAAAAGTGAAGTCAGTTTTTACCATATAGATAGTGAGTGCTCTGTGTTCTATACATTTGCTATAACTTAAAGAAGTGAAAAAATGTTATCATGTTTGTATATTTTACTAATTTAACTTTGTTAATCCTAGATATTTTCTGGACACCAATATATAGAACAAGTACTTTGAGTCATATATTGAATGACAGCAGAATTCAATATTCAATATACAGCTGACAGCTGTATGTCAGCTTTCTTTATGTACACATGCGTCATTCCATTATGTTAACTGTAATTATGCATCCGGCTACTGGAGATGGTGCCGGAGAAAATATGTTTTGGAGTAGTTTGCCCATCCATCCTGCTTTTTTGCTATTGCAATATCTCAAGAACGTGGTGATATTATGCATCACCAAAGTGAGATGAAGTGATTAGATATTGGGATAAGTAGGTCAAAGATCAAGGGCCATCAGGGTCAAATTAAATTAACTTGTAGGATTTTAGCCCCATTATTGCAATGTCTCAAGAATGGTTTGAGCCATCAATTTCAAATTTAGTGTTAGTATGCATCACCATATTGAGACAAACCGATTATATTTTGGGTTAAGAAGGTCAAAGGTCAGCAAAATGAAACAATTGTCACCATATCAATAACTACTTTAAGCTATTTAAGCTGAATTAAAAAATCAAAGCTACATATGGTATGTGTCACAATAGGGAGACAAGTAATCAGATGTTGGATTGTCAGGTCAAAGGTCGTAAATGCATGTTCAGAAAAATGTGGGCTTTCCAGGAAACACAAAGACTTAACTCCACCAACATCCTATTGAAGTCAATGGCTAGTGAAACATAGACTTAACTCCTTATGGCTCTTGCTGCTCAGTGACACATAAACCACTTTTTCTCAAAATGGTCAAAGTGGAGTTACGTCTTTGTGTCACTGACCCCTCAATATATATATTGGCTTTGCCGCTTTTTGTTGTCATGATATTTAAAGATTGATTCAAGCCCTGATCTTAATTAAATTTAGGCAGAGGCATATGGAGAAGCAGTCACATTTGTCTTGTTTTTTTCAAAATAAGATGTGTGATTGTCAGGGAAACCCTGCATTGCTGAAATGTCCTATGAAAAATTATTTTGTGATATTCACCTACAAGTTTCATGTATACACAAATTACTCATAATTTAAATGTCCCTAAGATTGAAACATTTAGGACCTAGTCGTATGTCACACTAATAGCCTCAGGCCTTTACAATCCTTCAGATGTATCAAAATATGTTTACGTGTTATCATTTGAATATGGATTATCTATGTATTTTTAGGAGGGCCATCAAGACTGCTCGAATCACAGACCAAACCTCTTTCAGCTGAATCTCAGACCAAACCACTTTCTCCTGAACTGGTTGAGCGGTGTGCAAATGATTTCAAGTTCAAGTACAGGTCAACTCTCTGTAAGATCAGAGCTGATCCTCTCAATCCTGCTTCCACTGTGCAGTTTGATGACATGTATACTAATCTCTTCTTACAAGAAGAACATGGGACAGAGAAGCGAATGCTAGATTACAATGATATCCTTGATCTCAAAGTCAATGGAGAGTTCCCCAAGCGGATCATGGTTCAGGGAGAGGCAGGGGCTGGAAAGAGTACATTTTGTGCTAAGATTGCTTGGGACTGGAATGAAGGGAGGCATTTCAGTCACTTCGTGTGGGTCTTGATTGTTCCTCTACGTGAATTTAAGCAACACACTATTGGCGAAATCGCAAAGTCTTATCTGGCCAAGAACAATCCAGCAACCGTTTCTCAGATTACTGAGTATATCCGGTCAAATCCTGACAAGGTATTCATCGCATTTGATGGGCTAGACGAAGTTAGTGGCAAAATCATGAAGACAAAATCTTGCGAATCACAGCCTACTGATCAAATGCAACTTCAGCCATCACAGCCAAGTGTCACCTCCTCAGAGGCATGTGGAAGCTCATCTGAGACTGGTGATATTGGACTTGTAGATATTCTTTGTTCAGATCAACTTGCCTCTTGCCCAGTCTTGGTGACCACTCGCCCATGGAGAGCAGTAGAGATTAGATCGGATGGCGATCTAATGAAGCTCTACACCTTCATTCATGTTGAGGGTTTTAGAAGAAAGGATTTGTCAGTTTACATTCACAAATACTTTCCGAAGAATGATGATAAAGCAAATCAGCTTATCGAGTTCACCAGTGAGAATGATGTCATATCTGAAAACATGGCCCCCTATCCTATATATGTAGCCATGTTGTGTCTTATGTGGAAAGAACTTGACGAGCAAAAACTAAAAGAAATGAAATCATTGAAAACGTTTTCTCAGATATTCAAAACAATGATCGCCTTTCTCAAAGAACATTATGCTCAGAAAGAGGTTAAGAAAGTAGGCAGCCCTTCACTTCATGCCTATTTGAAAAAAATTGATGAGCTCCTCGGACCGATTGCAAAACAGGCCTTCAATGGTCTGCTAGAAAATACATTGGTTTTTGGTGAAGATGATTTCCAAATATGCCCAGAATCCAAGGACGCTGCCTGTCGTGTCGGGATTTTGTCTCAGGAGGACAGAATTACCTCTAGCATGGACATACATGAGGGGAATTCTTATGTGCAATTGCCAGTCTTCTTCCCTCACAAACTGTTCCAGGAGTACATGGCTGGAGTCCATCTTGTTTTCCTGTATGAATCAGATTGTGATGAATTCAAAAGGCTGATTGATCAAGTAGTGCTGCCAAAGAAGGAGGAGTTTAGGTATCTCCTGTACTTCACTGTGTCACAGAACAAAAGTATTGCAACCTATGTAATGAACTCTATGCTTCAAGGACTAAGGGCTTCACAGAAACAGCTAGATTTCATTGTTGATGTAGCCTTTGAGAGTCAGGACCCAGATGTTGCAGCCTTGGTGAAGGACAGGGTTTCATCACTGAATATTGAGGTGGCCATATCCTCATTCACGACAGCACACACTGTAGCTGGTTATGCTTTCATTGGACCACATGTGGTAAGTTTAATCATAGTTTGATAAACAAAATTAGTTCATCCATTTTGGTACAAGTTCTTACTTTTATACCTTTTGCACTTTTCTTACAGTACAACGGTATACTTATGGAAGGGTGCATCTCGACTAGCACATGTGCTTTTATCTTCCCCTTTTTACCAACCAATAGTTTCTGTTCCTATATATAAATATCATTGTATGAAATGTATTACTGTATTGCTGTTGGAAAAGAAGTCTAATCAAAGAGGTTTGAACAGTAATAATTTGGAAACTAGAACTGCAATCGTAGAATGAAATGCATGCATTGATGCCCATATTTCTATTTTTTAAGCAGATGAATGATCCTATGTACACACGCTCGGCAAGGCACATGTCATTACGCACGTTTGGTTTTCCATATACTTTGGCCTATACGACCTTGTATGCTAACATACTAATACGTGACGCATATAGTGCAGGGTATGAAATGGCATCTAAAACGTCCTGCTTGACAGATTTTCGAAATGAGACAATGAGATGCCCTGAGTTTGGCCTCCAAAATATACTTGCAAAATTCCAAGATAAAAAATAAATAAACTGGGGACAAAATCAATCTGAAAATTGACGTTATAGCCAATGTTACAGTTGGGCAGAAACCCTGCGTAATCCGATTTGTACATGTATACTGTTTATGGTATCATTTGAAGCCGCATTTCTTTACAGTAATTTTGACCCCATTGTCATCCATGCTATCAGCGTGGATGACAATTAAATGTACTAGAAGCATGTCACACATTGTAATGTTATGCACGGCAAATTGAGCATTGTTTTACAATAACCTTGTGATGATCAACGTCAAGAAATGTTACCAAACTTGGCAGGCAGTTGTGAAGTAGGTTGATATACATGTCTGCAAGTTTCATAGACCTAGGTATAAAGTTCGTAAATTGAGCACATGTTGAAGTTATTTCAGGATTTTTCCTGAAAAGTACGGTTTTTGAGAGCAATTTTTCGCGAAGTCGGTCAGTAGTGAGGTGCATCTGTTTTCTTTCTTTCTTTTTTTAAACTGAAAAAGGGATATATTGAAGTATCTAAACCCGAATATGACATAGCTATTGCCACATAAACACATCCATTTTCAAAACTTTAGAGGGTGCTATTCATATCATAAGTAACCATTGATGTGTGAAATTCGGCAGAAACGTGGGCATTGCAAAGATAAAGATGCTGTAAAATGGACCGAATGGAATTGATATGTCAAAGTTATGGCAATTTGTCTGTTTCATTGGTCAATATTTAAAGAATTTTATCAATTCTTGAAAGAGTTGGTTTTGGAGTTAAATTTAGAGTATGAAGATGGCATTTTGAAGAGCCTTTTGTATGACAAAGATAACAACAACAAAAACTTTTGCACTATCTAGAGTAACTTGTTAGAAGTCTGTAGCATCTAGGATAGTGGAGGTAGGTAGGCCGAAAGAAAGGTATATGAGAACAGAGATGGGTAAAGGCTGCCCTCTTACTCTCTGTAGTACGTTCTAGCAGTGCATCTTGGGCAACCTCTCATGTAAGTTACACATCTCTGCCTAACATCCAACATCTATATTCTGCATTACATCAGTAATCACTTTGTCATTTTATCCAGGTTGAACTCCGTAGAGCGAGAGATTGTGGACCTACCATGTCACTTGATGTGGCAGAGATAATATCATGCTCCATGCAATCCTTGAAGGACGCTTCTCTATCATGTGCATTCCATCAGTGTTTTTTTGAAACACTTGCAAAGAAAGAAAAAGAATCAAAGGTGAGCAGTTCATCCACAATTGTGATGCATGTATGAGTGATTGATTTAATTTCATCCCATTACCACCTCTTCCCTTTTCTTATCTACATTTTACTTTTCTTTAATTCTTTTAAATGTCTCATATATGCTGGTTCTTTTGACAGAAGGATCAATGGTCTTTTCACACTTTTCACAGGCTGCAGCAGTGTTAACAAAAGCATTTAAGTGTGAATACTAACCGTGGAAACCTTGACGGTGGGCAGGGAGCACCATGTAAACAGTCGTATGCATGTACAACCTGAATGCTCTAAAAGAAACTCACATGTAGGAAGATCGCAACATACTTAAAAGGGAAGTCAACCCTGATATTAAGTTTGTTTTAATAAAAGCAGAAAAATAAGAGAAACAAAAATAATTGAAAGTTTGAGCAATATCCGATTTACGATACAAAAATTGTTGCAAGGAAGTTTTGAAACAAGAATTAAAGAATTTTTTTATCGAATGACTATGTCTAGAAGTGGAGTGGACTAAGTGCCCTTATAAAAAAAAAGTACCATGGCAACTATGGTTCTTTGTCCAAATTACCATCCACCATTCAAACCATGGTATCAAACAATGAAATTACCATGGTTCGGATGGTGGATGGTAATTTGGACAAATAACCATGGTTATCATGGTATTACCATGGTACTTTTTTTCAAAGGGTGGAACTTTATGAATGACACCAAAAAAAAGCCAATGTATTAAAACATTGGATAGATAACAATTACATACTAATTTTTAAGATAAATACAAAATCTCATTAAAGGTTACATCCAATGGGAGCAAATAAAAAGGGAGAGTGATGCTTGCCTTTATTTTGGACTGTGATGGTTTTTAGTGTCGGTCACATTCGTATTAATTTGCAAAGAGAGAATTTGCATAATCCTTACAACCTGGGATTAAGGATTGTATACTATGTTTTGGCATGTTTACTAAAAGACGGATATATATGTATTTCTTAATCCTAGAAATGTTATAATGGTGAAAGTTAAACATTTATTATCATCATTATCATTATAATCATTATTGTATCCCCCGGCAGTATGACGGTGGGGTACTTTGGATTCAGCAGCGTTACGCCGCCACTTCATAATATTTAATTCTTATGTGCGCTCTCACTGCCACATTTCTTGACAGATTTCTCTCAAATTTCGTATGGAGGTGTATCTTGGTATAATCTACACACTTATAACTTTTAGTGATGCTGCCCCAGTGTTCCGTCTTCTATAGGGTAAAAGGCCAAATTGTATTCTTGTGTGCGCTCTAACTGCCACATTTCTTGACAGATTTCTTTCAAATTTTGTATGGAGGTGTATCTTGGTATAATCTACACACCTATAACTTTTGGTGATGCTGCCCCCAGTGTTCCGTCTGCTATAGGGTAAAAGGCCATATTTGTATCCCCCGGCAGTATGCCGGTGGGGAACTTTGGATTCAGCAGCGTTACGCCGCCGCGTCATAATCTTGTGTGCGCTCTAACTGCCACATTCCTTGACGGATTTCTTTCAAATTTTGTATGGAGGTGTATCGTGGTTTAATCTCAACACTTATAACTTTTGGTGATGCTGCCCTCAGTGTTCCGTCTTATATAGGTTAAAAGACCATATTTTTGGGGGATGGTTTGTGTGTGCTCTATAGGCCACATTTTTCAAGGGATTTCGTTCAAATTTATAACAAAGGTGTATCTTGGTATAATTTACAAGCCTACAGATATTTGTGATGCTGCCTCCAGTGTTCCTTCTTTTATTGGGTCAAAGGTCATATTTTGATAGATGTCTATGTGGCACTCTAGTTTGCGGTCTAACTGCATTATTCCTTAATGGATTTCTTTCAAATTTTGTATGGAGGTGTATTTTGGTATAATCTACACACCTACAACTTTTGGTGGTGCTGCCCCCAGTGTTCCGTCTTCTATAGGGTCAAAAGTTCATATTTTAGTAGGTGTCTAGTGTGCGCTCTGTTAGGTCATACATGTATTTCATGACGGATTTCTTTCAACTTTTGTATAGAGAATAAGAAATGTATCTAGATACAATCTAAACTTTTGGGCTTTGCTGCCCTCATTGTTCCGTCTTTTATATGGTTAAAGTTCATATATGTCTTTTATGTGCTCTAACTGCCATATTTCTTGAAGGATTTCTTTCAAATTTTGTATGGAGGTGTGTCTTAGTACAATCTACACATCTTCAGTGTTTGGTGATGCTGCCACCTGTGTTCCGTCAGTTATAGGGTCAAAGGTCATATTTTGGTGGCTGTCTTTTGTGCGCTCTATCTGCCACATTTCTTGACAGATTTCTTTCAAATTTTCTACAGAGATGCATTATACTCTAATCTACACACAGATTGTTTTGGTGATGCTGCTCCTAGTCTTGACAATAGTCAGTGAGCCACTAGTGGCGATCTCTATGTCATCCTCTTGTTTCAGGGAGGGGAGAGGGGATCTTTGTCCCTCCTTCGAACATAAGGATGACACAAAATTGCTGCCACTGCTGGGGGATCATTCGCATTGCGCGGCAATACAGATTACGATATTTTTAGTTTTTGTTACTATTATCATTTGTATGCCTCCTTTCAGCGAAGGCGGCGTCGGAGGCATTATGTTATGGGGCTGTCTGTCCGTCTGTCTGTCCCACTTTCTAGCGATAAAACGCGATATCTCAAGGACCACTTGAGATATCAACGTTAAACTTGATGATAGTATATATCACCATAGGAAGACAATCTGAGTAGATTTGGTAGTAACCAGGTCAAAGGTCAAGGTCACAGAGGTCAAATTATGAAATTTGAGGTATTCGCCTCGTTATTGCGATATCTCAAGAACCACTATAGGTTCGAGGCTCAAACTTGGTGGTAGTATGTATCACCATAAGAAAATGATCTTATCAGATTTGGGTTTAAAGGTCAACTGTGACAATACTGAAATTATATCCCATACTAAATTAAGGCGGAGGCATTTAGGAGATGCAGTCGCATTTGTCTTGTTATTATTTTTATTATTATCATTCTTCCTATTATCAGGTGGGCTGTATATCATACAGACCACCTTATATTTTTGTTAAATTTGCCTTTATTATTTATTATTTATTATTTATTTATTTATTTATTTTTCTTAATTCTTACCACTTTTTTGTTCACAAGATAACTTGAAAATTAATAAATCAAATAACTTGAAATTTGGCACACATATGTATAGGCATATAGAGAAATCAAAATAACGTTTTCAACCTTGACCTTGACTGATGACGTCATCTAGGCGCCATTTTGTGAAAATAAACTCGTGATCATATCTTCATAACCAAAATTCATTTCTCCTTAATATTTAATACGATCAAGGTCAATATCAGTCCGATTAATTTCAGATAAAAAAAAGCGTCAGTGCGCGCGCAAAATTGTATAATGTTCAAAATCATCTCAAATTTATTTTGCATACGTTTTAGGCCATTTTAAACATTTTATAAAAAATCGCGCACACACGCGTGCGCGCGCGTTTTTCGCGCGTAACAACATTACAAAACATATAATCGCCATTTTTTTTTCTTTCATGACATTTCCCATATTTTTTCAAACAATTTGATACCATGTTTATCTCTTTATGACCATTAATAACAAGATGAGCGTTCATTCAAGATAAATCTCTGTGCGCGCGAACTCTTTTTATACATAGCATATATGGGCAAAAACATGCCTATACAAAATCCATTATAGCTCTTTGGGATACACCGGGAGTCCGGTACCCTCAAGTTTTTTTTCATATTTTGATAGAGAATGAGTCGGAAATATGATTGAATGTCTCATTTGGCTATTACAAATATTCTGACATCATCATAATGGCCTTCGAACTAAAAATACGAATTTGCTTATAATGAAGTCAGCATATTTATGGAAAATTGATTGTATCTCTGTAAATATTGATCAATTTTCTTCCAAATTTCGATATGTTGTAGCTAAGACAATTCTCTACAAGCTCAGTTGCCACCATTTTTCATTTTGATCACTTCATCATAGTGGAAATTACGATTAAAGGGAACATATCAGAAATGTCTTAAGTTGCGTGTTATGCCTATGGAAGTTGAATCATTAATCTACATGAAATTGTTTTTTAGCAGTTTTTCGCTTATTTTTGCTCTATTTTGTGTCAAATTTTAGTTGACCAGCCCACCTATACTTGTTCCAAACAAGTATTATATGTCTAGTTATGTTTGTTATTGTGATTATTATCCTCATCATGATTATTATCGTTAATATAAATTATTATTGTAATTATTATAATCATTATTATTGTTATCATTGTGATGAATATGAACATGATCATTTTGATGACGATTAGTATAAGTATATAGTATTATTATAATTGTTATCATATCATTATTATCATCTGTATTATCATAATCTACAATGGCAGTAGTGTAGTATAGTACATGTAGAAGTAGGCCGAATAGTAGAGGTATCATTCTGATCATTATTATTCTGATTATCTTTTGCAATACGTCTAGACGTTAATGCCCTTGTAACTTCCCACCTTGATTACTGTAATGGACTATTAATCAATCTCCCTAGCTCTCATTTAGCCCCTCTTCAACATATTCAGAACACAGCAGCACGCCTCATCACACGTACAAGAAAACATGAACACATCACACCGATCATTCGTTCACTACACTGGCTCCCCCTCCAACAACGTATCAAATTCAAGATTCTCATGCTGACATACAAGGCCTTTCACAAACTTGCTCCCTCATATCTCTCGGCACTCATCACTCCTAAAACTCGTACTTCATCTATGCGTCTCAGATCGTCATCCACAGCACATCTTCATCTTGCCCCAGGCCCTCGCACCCACACCCGCTATGGAAATCGTGCCTTTTCTGTCTGTGCCCCCCAACTTTGGAACAATCTTCCCCATGAAATACGCGAGTCCCCAACCTTAGAGACATTCAAAAGTAAACTTAAGACTTATCTGTTTAATATGTAATGTAATGTAATCATATTTTGTTTGTTTAACTATAAAG